AATGGCACATATGCTCACCAGAGAGATGGAAAGAGGGATGGCCAAGTGAAATGAATGCATGAGGGAAAGGGACAGGGAAAGGGGCAATGGCCACACTGCAATCCCCTCTCCATTCTCCTCTTGGGATTTTGGGCACACATGCAAACTCATCCAATGTGTTTTTCTTCCTTTTTTAAAAAAGAATATTTAATTTTATTAATTATTATTATTCAGTTTGATCAGAGACAGAGAGAGAGAGAGAGAAAGCAAGCTGCTAGGTCCAGGACTCAAACTGCAGTGAGCTATGTGTGAGTCCAGTGCCTTAACCACATCCCACCTTCCAGCCCTTCTGAAATGTTTTTTAAGCCGCTGGGTCTGAGACTTGAACCACACACTTGGCCATGTGGAATCCAGCCTCCTTAACCTTCATACCACCTGCTGGCCCTGAATTAGACTTCTAAATAGCAACAAAAGATCTTAGGGTGCAGTTGACTAGCAGTATATTGTTTACCGATTCAGATTTATGCAGAAGAAGTACAAAAGCTTTTGTGGGAATGATACACACTAATTTCTGAATACAGCTGCAATCAGGGATGGAGGGAAAGGGAAGGAGATGGACACTGGTGAAACTTTAGCTGAATCATATTTTATTAAAAAATGGCATTTTTATTTACTAAAAAAATAAGATCAAAGTAAGTAAGTTAAAATATTAATAACATGGGACCAGCAGTTGGTGTAATGGCTATGTCGCTGGCCTCCCATGTGGTCAACTGTGGTTTGAGTCCCAGACCCAGTGGCTTAAACTCACGCTGGGCGCGTGTGCGTGCGTGCCCAAGAGGAGAATGGAGGAGAAGGGATTGCGGCATGGCCATCCCCCCCCGGAGGTGATTTCTTGCTTTCTTTTATCACTTCCTGTACCTTTTGGTATGCCTGAACTGTTGCATGTTAAGAAATATTTTTAAAATGTTCCCTTTCACATTATTAAATTTATACTTAGAAAATATCAATCCATGTGCTCGCTTCGGCAGCACATATACTAAAATATCAATCCATTAAAGTGTTCAAATTGAGAATGAATTTCTGGCATTTCTAACAAGGAGAGTAATTCATTGAATTTACTTGTTATACCCTTGATGGAGACTAAATGTAAAAAAGGAAAAAAATTGGTAGGACCAGCAATTGATGTATTGGTTATGTCGCTGGTCTCCCATGTAGTTGACCACAGTTCAAGTCCTGTACCCAGTGGCTTAAACTCACACCGGGCACGTGGGCGTGTGCACCTGAAATCCCAGGAAAAGAATGGAGGAGAGGGGATTGTGGCATGGCCATCTCCCTAGGGGGTGATTTCTAGTTTTCTGTCTCTCTGTCTCTCTCTTTCTGGTGAGCACGCATGCCCTATAACAAAAACCTCTGCAAAAAAAAAAAAAAAAAATTGACACTGGCTTTTTTTTTTTTCTGAAATGAGCCAGCATTGCCAAAAAGCAAAATCACAGAGCTCAGATTCCCTAAGTTCATTCAATTATAGACACTAGTACTTATATCCAACACTCCGACCTGTGTATTGCCTGCCTTGTATTTAGGGAAATTTGTAGTCGATATCTTAATATCTATTAAAATTGTTAAAGGAGACCTTAGAGTTCCATTTTTCTGAGTTTTCTTTTCTTTTTAAATGCAATTCGTTTGACCAGTGACTTAGCTGTAGTCTCACCTAACGCAGGGAAGTATACTTCTCCAAGTTTCTTTTGTTAATTCATCATGGGGTTACTTAACACATTTACCTAGCTTATTGCCTTAATGGGCTTCCAAAATTTTCTAATTTTCATAACATGCTCCCCCCCCCCAAAAAAAAGAGTAAGGGACTAGAGAGAACAGGAGGGAAAGCTAAGCAACCGGGGCATGGTTCCATCGATGTCAACTAATGAGTCGTGAAGAATGCACATCAAAACTGAGGCCTGTAGACGCTAAGGGATGAGGGAGCATTTATTCACCAGTTCCCTCCTCGCATTGTTCAAAGGTCACTCCTTGGGACATTAACGCTCTTGTTCCCTCAGGTGAGGCTTGAGTGAGTGCTGGTCTGGTTCCAATGAATCTGGACTGTGGTGTCAGAAAGGAAGAGCTCTGCTGCAGCTGAGTGGGGTATTGCCAGCTGCATCTTCTCTAAGCTGGGTTCTGTAACAATGACTGGAGTAAGAGAGAGACTAAGAGGATATGAGGCAGGGCACACTTTTTGTTCCTTACAGATCATGACTGCAGAAATGGCAACCTCCTTGTTTGTGGGAAATTAAAGCCCACAGATTGGGGCCAGCAGATGGTGTGGTGGTTAAAGCACTGGACTCCCACATGGCGAACCACAGTTCAGGTCCCAGACCAAGCAGCTTAGAATCATAGAGAGCACACGTACATGTGTGCCCAGAATCCCAGAAGGAGAATGGAGAAGGGATTGCAGCTGGTCATCCCTCCCGGGGCCTGATTTCTAACTTTCCCTCTTACTGCCTGTCTCTTGTCTATTCAGCAAGCGCATGTGCTGGTTGTCAAAAATCTTAAAAGAAATAAACACTTTCTACCCTTTATCAGTCATACAAGAGACAATGCTGGACAAATCCGTGTTGTTCTCATCTCATCACTTGGATAGCAAAAGTCAAGGTTTCCAACTTTTATCATTGGAAATTATTATTTTTCATTCCTACGTATTTAAGTAATACTGTATGAAACAGGCCATACTCTAGTTTTCACAGAAAACAATAAATCCATTTCGGAATCCCTGGGGAATTTTTTTGGGGAGAAACTAACATTTACTAAAGCCCGTTATTAAAAAAATTTAAAAGTGGGACCAGCAGTTAGCATAATAGCTATGTTGCTGGACTCCCATGTAGTTGACCATGGTTCGAATCCCAGACCTGGTGGCTTAAACTCACGCCGGGCACGAGTGCATGGTGCCCAAGATCCTGAGAGGAGAATGGAGGAGAAGGGATTGTGGTGTGGCCATCCCCCGCCCCGGGGGGGGGGATTTCTCACTTTCCATCTCTCTGTCTCCCTGTCTTCCTGGCGAGCACATGCGCCCTATAGCAAAAACCTCTCCAAAAAAAAATAATAATAATTAAGAAGTATTTTTCTCCTTCATATTTTATAAGAGTAATGAATTGGGTCTCATTAGAGCTATATAGTGTCTACTATAGTTTGAATGTCCCCCAAACGTTCACGTGTTGAGATTTGGTTGTGATGGGATTAACCTGATAATGGTGTTGAAAGGTGGGGCCTCTGGGAACTGATTAGGCGTCAGGATGGGCTCCATGATTGAGTTCCGGTGGGTTTATAAGGAGAGTAAATGAGCCCAGAATAGGGAGATGTATGGATACAGACACTCTGCCTTGGTGATGTGTTACACTGGGGCTCTACAGACCTCCCCACCAGCTGTGGCCCTCGAACCTTGGACTTCTGAATTGTGAGCTGAATACACTTCTGTTTTTATAAATTACCCAGACTCAGGTTTTCCCATTATTAGAAACAGAACAGACTAGCACATTGCCTAAGCTATGTTATTCAGCTCAATTTTCAATGCTGAATTCTCAGAGTAGATGTGATTTATTGGGTTTTCAGAAAAGTCATGACATTATTTTTCTGTTTTTCTATACAAAAATATGTCGGGACTTTTCTGACCACTCAATACTTTTGATAGGTTTAGAGAAAGAAAAAAAAATTAATAGCTGAAAATATTTTTTCTCTTAGACATATACATCCTAATGAGGAATTTATAATGAAGGGTTATCTCACCAATAGCTGAGTTAACCTCCCAGAAATGCCCCTACACTGGGAATATATTTGTACCTGCATATATGTTATAACTGTTGGCTGCATATTTGCAAAGACCAAGGAAGAATGCTTCCCAAAGTGAAGGGATCCCAGCGGGGATGAGGCGGGGGTTGCAGTTACCAAACCCTACATTACTGAAATGAAATCCTCAGAAGCTTGAGTAAGGTAGTTTTCAAACAAAATGACTGGCAAAATTATTTTATGCTTTAGTGAAAAATTTACGGGCATCACATCATCAAAAGGATACACAGAATGGAAATATAGGACTAGCCATAGTAACGCATCCTGGTAGAAGTGGCTACTTAGGCCAAGGCCACAATGGGAAGCCTGGATTCAGTTTCCTGCCTACCCCCAAAGGCCAGGTATAGTGGCACTGTGGTACCTGTAGTCCTAGCTATTCGGGAGGCTGAGGCAGAAGGACTGCAGTATAGCAAGACCCTGTAATAAAATGAAAAGAAAGGAAAAATTAAACTGTTTAATCACTTAAAATAATCCAGGTACTCTGTAGATAAATGCATGACAGTTTATTATGATTTTGTGAGTGAAACAAAGATGCTGTAGGGTGTGTGGGGACACTCGGAAGGTAATCCTATGGTACTCTCATGATATTCTCTATGACCCTGAAATCTGTTTTCCTCTTCCAAAATTATGCCAAATCTGACATATAATTGTAAAATGAAAGACTCTTAGAGTCTTGGGTGGGGGGGGGAGAAGACAGAATAGTTTTGGTGAGGTGAAAGACATTATAAGAGAAAATGGTTTTTTGAAGGGAGGAGAAAAGACACAGACCACCTGCTAAATAGCTGCTTAAAACCAGGTATTGTCAGTTTGGGGACTCAAAGATAGTCTCCAGGTTTTGAGCCAAGGTAGCTAGGAAGATAATACAATGGAGAGAATTAAGACCATTTGAAAAGATAGGAATTGGGAATATGCTATGATTTGAATATTTTCCCCCAAAATTCATGAGCTGAAATTTGGTTGCTATTCTGACAATATTAAGAGGATAGAAACTTAATTCTACTCTGGTATTACATGGTGGGGCCTTTGAGAGATCATTAGGATTAGGTATAGGTATGGTCATGGATTGGGGCCCCCATAGCTGAATACTGGTGGTTTTATAAGAGGAGGGAGAAAAACCAGAGCTGACGTGTGATCTTGCCCTTTCACCATGTCATTCCCTGCACCACCTCAGGACTCACCACCTCAGGACTCTGCAGAGAGCCCCATCAGCAAGGAGACCCTCACCAGGGTAGCCTCTCGACTTCGGATTTCCAGAACTGTGAGCTAAATAAGCCTTTTTTTCTTTATAAATTACCCAGTCTGTGTATTCAGTTATAGCAATAGAAAAATGGACTAAAACAGATGGTGCCAGTATTTTGTAGACATGCCGAATTTTAAGCAGTAAGCATTTGCTTGCTTCAAAGATGGAGATTTTTGAAAGCACTCAAGCCTGAATATAATATGCGAGTCTTTCCTGTAAAGCTCTTGGAGGAAGCCATGGGCCTGAATGAGAGGCAGTAGAAAGAAATGGTGAAGGGAATGGAGTTTCAGAATTTGGCAGACATGAGTTTGCATCCCTGTTCTGCCCCTTAGACCAATGAAATCTTAAGTTAGTCATAGAATCCTCCCGAGATTTGTTTTCTTTCCCAAAAGATGGGGCTACTAACACCCACTTCATAGGTCTGATGAATAAAATAAATTATAATGTACATATAACCTTAGCACATTCACTAGTATGTATTATGCTCTATTATGAATTAGAAATAACTCCGAGGTGGAGACAAAATAAGAGAAGAATGGGTAGATCTGAGTTTTTCAAGATGAGATCCAAGTTACATGTCTAGGTGATTATTAGTAATCATTGATGGAATGGTAAGGTGAAAATAATAATAATTAGAACTAAAAGTTTCTTTTCTCTCTTTTTCTCTTTGTTTTTAACTTAAACTATTTCAGACATATTATGTAAGTTTGTCCAGATTGCTCATGGTTCAACTATATTTGCAGGGCATGAGAAAATGGAAGCAGAAAATTAAAATGACAAAATGGAAAGATTTGAAATGCTTTATTTGATGATGGATCTACACTATTTTTTTTTTAAACCCCAAGCAGTAAGCATAGTGTTGGGAGTATCTCAGAGGCTTATATAATGTTTGTTTAAAAGAAAAATACATGTTTGATAATGTGGGTTTAGCAGATACTTAAGACTCCAACATGATCTAGTTCACAGGCCTTTGTGTCATTGTCCCTTTGAGAACATTCTCCAGGTATCCACTTGGTTCATTCTTCTGCAGTAGTCAGCTCAGATTTTGATTCCTCAGCTAGGCCTCTTCTGAACACCAGCTGAACTAGATAGCCACTCTGCCGTTCTTCAGGGGATCAACTTTCTTCATAACATCTACCATCACCTGACATATGATTAATTGTTTGCTTTTTAGTTTATTGTCTGTAGCCTCTCTCACAATTAAAATGGAACCTCTTAAGTGAAACAAAAAGTTTTTTTCATTCACTGCTGTGTGTTTAATTCCTGTAATAGTACTTACACATGGTAGTTACTCAGTAAATGAATGCACAAGGCTGGCTCTGATACCTACTGGTTAAGGAAACTGGATCCCACATAGCCAACCCAGCAGGTTGAGTCCTGGACCTAGTGGCTTGAGAAACATACCAGGTGTGTGTGCATGCATGCCCCAAACCCAGCTGGATGGGGAAATGGAGAAAGGATTGTGGTGTGACCACCTTCAATAGGAGGGTGCTTTCTCCCTATTCCTCTCTCTTCTCTCTCTGGCAAGTGCACTCACACAGTGGCAAACTTTTATAAAAACTTAGTGTACATATAGGTATATGAAAAAGATAAGTTTTTGTCTTTCCCACCTGCTGAATGAGGTAGTGTACATTTTTCTCTCTCATAGTTGTTACAGGACCATTCTGTAAAAGTGTTTTATTTTGGAATGATTTTAGATTTAAAGGTGCATAGTGCATACAATCCTATACATTCTCTCAGCCACTTTTCTCTGTTAGCATCCTACATGTATTACCACGATATATTTCTCAAAATTAGGGAGCTGACATTGATGCATTGCTCTTAACTAAATTCCAGACTTTATTTGGAGTTCACCAGCTTCCCCACTGATGATCTCTTTCCAGTCTGGAATCCAATCTAGGCTGCTGCACTGCATTTAGTCATTGTATCTCTTCGGTCTCCTCTGGTCTATGACAGTTCCTCAGTCTTATCTTGTTTTACAAGACCTTGACAGTTTAGGGGCCGACATATTTTTGAGAAGCAGACATTGACTGGAGCTGGACAGGGGCATGGTGGTAATGCAGTGCTTACAAGGCTGACCCACACTGGAAGGTTCTTAGTTCACATCCAGATATCTCCCTGAACATGCTGGGCATACATGTACACACCATGATCTGGGGCTAGATGAGGCAGGGAATGAATCATAACGTGAGGACCCTATTGAAGGTTTCTCTGTCTGTCTCTTTCTCACAGAAGAAATAAAGAAATGTGCATAAAAAAAATTAAACCTTGATAGATCTCTTTCCCCTCACCTCCATCAAGGCCATGTAGTCCCTTCAGCCCCAGGCTGAAGAGCAACATAGATTTCCTCTTAACATAGTTGGCGTTTACTTGAAATGACACATACATACCATAATTTATTCATTTTTAGCAGAAGTTTGGGTTCCTGTAATAGTTGGCCTTCTAAAAACCCTGTTCAGCCCTATTTTGAGTTGTGTAAAATTGGCATGCATATTATGAGGATTCTATAAAGAACTTTGATGCTTAAATTGAAATTTTAAGTAGAAAAGGTCAACAAAGTAAAAATATTTTATATAATACAGATTCTTTACGTATTTCTTAGAATTCTTTGCCTGAAATTTACAGAAAATTCTACTGAGTTGTTTCCTTTTAAGTTCTCCTTAGTATATATTCCTTTTTCTCTTTTCTTTTAAAGAGAATTTATTTCCCAAAGTTAATATTATAGTAGTTTTCTCTTACCTGTGATTTTTTTTCCCCCTTTTTTTTAGAAAGAGATCTTTGCTATAGGGCATGTGTGCTTATTAGAGGGACAGAGAGAAAGCAAGAAATCACCCCCCAGGGGAATGACCACACCGCAATCCTTTCTCCTGGAATTTTGGGCAGCCATGTATATGTGCCCAATGTGTTTCAAGTCACCAGGTCTGGTGCTCAAACCACAGATGGCCATGTGGGGAGTCCAGTGTCTACTACCTCCTGGCTCCTACCTGTGATTTTTTAAAAAATTAGCAAAAAGGAGTCTTTAGTCACCAGAATATGGGAGATTGATGTGCAGCCAACCATCTATTATAAAGGTTGAAAAAGGTTATATATTGGGACCAGCAGATGGCATAATGGTAACATCGCTGGACTTCCATGTAGTTAACACGGTTCAAATCCTAGACCCACTGGCTTAAACCTCATGCCAGGTGTGTTTGTTCGCATACCCAAAATCCTGAAAGAATGGAGGAGAAGGGATTGCGGCAGGGCCATTCCTCCATGGGGTGATTTTTCACTTTTTGTCTCTATCTCTCTGGTGAGTACCTGCACCCTATAGCAAAAATCTCTCTTAAAACAAAAAGGTCATATAAAATTAATATTTACTGGGCTGGCAGGTGACATGGTGGTTAATGTACTTGACTCCCACATGGCTGACTATGGTTTGAGTCCTGGACCAGGTAGCTTTTTCCTGTACCAGGTAGCTTGATTTCTCACTCTTGCCAGGTCAAATGGTAATAATAATAATTAATTAATATTTTAAAAGATAAAAATTGAATTAAATAAATATACCTTTTAAAAAATTAATATTTATGATAAACCATATTTAAGTGCTTAGCCCAAGTCCAGGCCACAGCCCATCCTGTGTTCTTTCAAACCTCCAAACCCTGTACTTTTCTTCCTTTTGTCTGGAACTCACTTATTTTCTCCATATTCTGAAAAGTCTCCTGCTTATATGTCTTAAGCTAAGAAGCAGTGAGGTGAGCAAGCATGTGCAAAGTATTTAATAAGGAAATACTCCTAGAAGTGGAGTATGGAG